TCATTGACCGCAAGTCGTTTGCCTGGTTTGCCTACTGGGACACAGAGAGGGGGAGACACTGAGGGCCCTGTCTGGGTCCAGGTGATAAGCCATCCCTGAAGACTGTGTGGTTTCCTCATTTCCTGTCAGCCCCCAAGCCAGGTCTCAGCTCGCAGCAGCTCTGTGACGTTGCCATCTCCTACACTGGCCAGCGAGGGAGGGTAGCCATTTCCTTAACACTGCAGGGGTCTCGTGGATTCCTAAGAACAGCACCCCCCCCAAAAAAATCAGCCCCCCAATTAGAGTCAGGCAAGCTGGGTACAGGGAAAGAAAAAGTATGTAAGGGGTGTGCTGAGCACCTCAGTTCTCCCAGAAGCTGGGGAAGAGCTTTCCTCATTTTTAGACAAGAAAACTGGCCTTCCGGGGTGTCCAGCCCGCAGGCCTCATGCAGATTATATGAGGACTCTTGCGGATCCGTGGTGGCACATATCACAGAAGATTATGCACGGACCTTTTGCAGTTGTTGTTGTTGTTTATCAGCTTTGGTTAGCGTTTGTGTATTTCGTGTGTGCCCCAAGACAACTCATTCTTCCAGAGTGTGACCGAGAAGAAAAAAGGCTGGACACCCTGGGAGAGTTTCTCCAGGGACTGCAGCCCAGTTCTGCTCTGCGGCATCTGAAACGCAGCCACTTTCTCTCCTCTCCCCTCAGAGCCCCACAGCCTGTGTGCGTTACCAGGAAAAGTGGCAGGCATGCAATTCTTGGTCCATAACCTACACCATACTCATGCTCCCCTCCCAGTCGCCTGCCTCTCAATCTTGATCTCTCATTCCCCTTCCTTCCCTGGGAACGTACTGTGCTACTGTGCTGCTTCCGACAGTCCTGGGCTTTGTGAGGTAAGAAGAGTTAGTTGAAGAGCTGCTAATGGCCCAGCCTTTTAGCCCTGACTGCGACTGCTCACTTAGCTGGGGTGCCTGTTGGTGCTCCTGCTGTTCCCTTAAAGGCTCTAACAATGCCTGGCAGGGCAGCCGTGGGGAAAGAACGTGGTTTGGGGAAAAACCACTTTCCTCAGCATCCCTGTTTAGTGAGGAGGCTTTCACTGAATTACCATGGCCCTTTTTTCACCTGAGTTGTAGCCACCTGACATCACTTTCTTTTTCAGTTCTAAGGTCATCACCACTGGGAACTTGTATCTAGGTGGCAATGAACTCCCCAACAGGTCAGACCTCCTTGTCTGCCTGAGCAGGTGGGAGGGGAAACACCCATTTGCTCACAGATGGGCAACTATGGGTAATGTAATTGTAAGCCTACTTCCTGGCAACAAAACTCCTGTCTGTTTCCTGCCCGTAGGCCTTTCAGAGGGAAAGTGCTGGATGGGGTATTTGCAGAATGTGGCAGTGCTAGCCTAGTCTCCTAGGAACCGCATGGCCAGAGTGATGGTTGACCTTAGCCCTGCTAACTCTGGTCAGAACTGGTCCCCACCCCTCCAAGCCCAGGGCCTCTGGGGATTCTGTAGGCCGGTGCAGGTGGCAGGAAATGGAGGCCGGTACTACAGCAAGGGTGCTTGCCCTCCCCACCTCCACCGGCTGCAGTCTCAGCCCCTGGGGCTGCACTGCTCCCCAGGGTGTTCCCTACAGTGCTGGGAGAGGTCGAGGGTGTGGTGCAGAGGCTCTTTCTGGAGGAAAGTCAATGCCAGCCTAGGTCGGGGGAGTGTCTGTGGTCTTCTCTAGCCTCCTGCCAGCTCTGCCCTCTCAACTTGTGCCCACCACGGCAGAGAAGAGATCAATAGCCCCTTTTCAGGTTTGACAGAAACTCACACCAAATGGCTCTGCACCTTACCACTTTTTCCTTCTAATTTGGGGAAAGAAATGCTTTTCATTTAAAGAATTTCTGGCCATGGTAAACAGGGGAAGGAGTTCTATTGTGACTTTGTCAGGGTGGTTTTAGAGGGCTGCTCCTTTCAAAGGATATGAAGGTCTGGAGACTTCACATCTTTTATGTTTACCTGGATGGAGCTGGAACATATTCTTCTTAGTAAAGTATCTCAAGAATGGAAAAAAAGTATCCAATGTACTCAGTACTATTATGAAACCAATATATAACCACCTACGCACTTGTATGAATGGCAAAACATAACTGTAGTCCAAAAAGTAGAAGAGGAGAGAAAGGGGAGGGGAGGGGGGATATGGGAGGAGGGAGGGCTTTTGGGGGGACCCCACCTAATGTGCATGATGCAATGGTACATTTCAAAACTATTAAGAAATGAGTATAATTGTGATGGATGTGTTACTTAGTTCAATGTAAGCATTTCACATTGTATATTGAAGCAGTACCCTGAACCCCATAAATGCATCAATGTACAAAGTTATGATTTAATAAAATATAATTTTTTAAGAAAGGATATGAAGGTCTGACCCCAAAATGCACAAACTCACTCCTTAAAGATGCCTCAGGTAGAAGGCAGGTCAGAAAAGAGGTGCCTGGGTACCATTGCCCTTCCCTCATCCCTTTGAAATTCTCTCTCATCCCTTCCAGGCTGGCGAAGCTCAGACATGGGGACCCAGGCCAATTCCTAGATGACTCACAGCATGCCTCCTGCCTCCCTCTTTCCCGGGTTCCCCGGGTGCCCTGCAACCTTTGCTCTCTGGGCAGGCAGCCATGGCCTCCTGCCCAGCTCAGACTCTCCAGGTTTCAGGCTGGATTAGGAAGGGCGGGGACCCGTGGGCACAAAGCAGCCCCGGAAATGGGTGACAGGATAGGGAGTTGACCTTTGTCTTTATGAGAATTGTGAAGATAATAGTTAATAACGTTATAACGATAATAACATAATAACGTTGTAAATGACATGACAACTCTGGGACATTCATACACCCCTAGAACGTGAGGTCTTTTCATTTTGCCACTGGAGTTATCAGGAAGAACTGTTACCTAATGAGAGATTCTATGGACTAATACAGTGAGAAAAGAAAAAGCAAAACTTTACTGTGGGTAAGATCCATTCTAATTCTGGCCATTTATGTAAGCTTCTTCCTATTTACAGCTAATTGCCACGAATTAGGACTACATACACACATGTATATGTAAAAGTCTATTTGAGATTGATTAGTCTTCTGTGTCTTATTTTATCAGAAACCTAATTCTACACATACACAGTGTGTCACCCTGTGCATCAGGGGCAGTTTTCCACAGCTTAATAAAACCAGGAAGGAACCTTGGCCTTGCCCTTGGGTGGATGGGTTCCTATTCAGTGTTCTTGGGAGGAGCAGAAAGCTGAGACCTGACAAGGGACCAAGGGCTGACTGGGAGTCCCTTCCCCTGGATGCTGATTCCACAGAGATGCTGTCTGGACCTGGCAGGGGGGATGGAGAAAGGGAATGGGTTCAGAGAATATTTATGAGGCAGTCTGTTAATGTGGGTGTGCAGGAAGTGAAAGATTTGGGTAACTCCCAACTTTCAACTGTGGCTCTTAAGTGGATGATGTCACCATGTACTGAGACAGACACTCAGGTGAGGCAGAGATGTCGAATTCAGGTTTGGACTCGTGGTGGTTGAGCACCTGCAGGATATCCAGGTGAGGATGTCTATCAAGTGCCAGGTGGTTCAGTTCTAAAGCTTGGGTGAGGGGTGAAGGCTGGGGAGAAAGGTGTAGGAATACAGAAAGGTGTCAGCGTGGAAGACGGAATCCAGAGAATGAGGTGAGTGTGTGTGAGAAGAGCAGGGCTGAGGACAGGACCCTGGGGCAGCCCACGGAGAGAGACAAGCTGTGTCCTGCGAGGGCAGGACTCTGCAGGACAGGTAGTGGCTGCCAACATGCCGTTCTTTAACCGAGAGCAATTTAAGTGGACGTGAATGAGGAAAGTTGAAGGTCATTCCCAGGAGAGAGCTTTGCTAATTGGTATGTATAGAGGAAATCTGCAGAATTAAATCGGGCTCCAATTTCTTGGTAATTCCTTTGAATAAAATTGGATACAATCACTATATCTTCATTTAAGATTTATTGAGATGTGATAGGAAATTGCACATGGGCTGCTCAGACTGCACCAGCTCTCAGAATTTGAACCTCCTGAAGTAGCCCCAGTGCTGCCATGTTTCAACCTTGAGCTAGAACTTCCTGGGCTAAGAGCATCTATGCACTCCCCCTGTTTGACCTGTTTATATCTGAAAAGTGATACAATTATGTTTTTAAAATGTAAATGATGCTGAAGGATTTTCAGTGATAAGTAAATTTTCCTACTCACCCGGGCCCCAGTCCTCAGTTCTCTCTCACCACACCCTGCAAAGCAAGTCTTTTCCAGTGCTATGTGCATACCATCCCCCTTGGAAATACTATAGCTGTGGGCCAAATCCAGTCAGCTGTTTTTGTAAATAAAGTTTTATTGGAACACCTCTGCACCCACTCCTTTGCATGTTATCTGTGGCTGTTTTCCCATTACAATGGCACAGGTGAGTAGCTGTGAAAGAGACAATATGGCCTGCAGAGCTATAGATCTTTACTACTTGTTCCTTTATGAAAAAATTGAATGACATGTGCTCTTTGCAAGTATAGACACATGGAAGCCTGCTACACACGGTTCTGCATTTTGTTTATTTCTACTTAATAGTATAGCTTAGAGATTGTTCCCCACTGGCACATGCAGATTAGTCTCAGGGTTTTCTTCATGTAGTATGGATGTAATTTTAACAATACCCTGTTGAAGGGTATTTGAGACATTTTCTGTCTTTAGCATGAATACAAAACACTGCAAGGAACCTCCTTGTGCACATCTTTGCTTTCCTATGACATCTTTATTTTATTTTATTTTATTTTTGAGACAGAGTCTTACTCTGTAACCCTGAGTAAAATGCCATGGTGTCATAGCTCACAGCATCCTCAAATTCCTGGGTTCAAGTGAACTTCTCACCTCAACCTCCCAAGTAGCTGGAACGACAGGCATGCACTACTATGCCTGGCTAGTTTTTCTGTTTCTAGTAGAGATGGGGTCTCACTCTTCCTCAGGCTGGTCTTGAACTCCTGAGCTCAGACAATCCACCCACCTCAGCCTCCCAGAGTGCTGGCTTTACAGGCATGAGGTACCTTGCCTGGCCTTACCTAGGATATCCTTGGTGTGAGGACATTTCAAATCGACAGATATTGCCAAATTGCCACCCCAAGGTAGCTCTTACATCACCATCTACTACAGTCAGTGAGATGCTCTTTTTACTTTAAGGGCTAGACTGCTAATTCCTGTGAGGAAATGGGGACTAAAGATATGAAAACTAAGGGGAATGTTCATTTGGTGCTACTCTTGTAATCCATGTAACATTTCACAACCTCTAATACCTACCACAGCTCCTTTGAGTGTCTACCCACTGCCTTTATTTCTGAAGGTGGGGCTCCCTGGGCTTTCTTTTCCTGACTTAAGACCAGAGTCTAATTCAAGATCTGAAGATAGAATGAAGAAAGTTGTTCTCTTTTGGCCTCGGTTGAGTCTTTTGCATCTCTAAGGACCTCTTGATGACATCCACTGTCCAGACCTCTGCCCAAACCAGAAAAATCCCTTCTCAAATAATGCTAAGCAGAAATGCAGACAATACAAGACACCTATATTGACATTTTAGGAGTTTGCATTGCCTTCCATTCTATTTGGTAATCAATCTCTCTCAAAAATTAGGTATGGTTAACACAGAATGTCACAAAATACCACCATTCTACATATCCTATTACCTTATTTCTGGATTCTCTTAAAGGCAAAAGCCTTCATTCATTCATCTTTGGGCCCAGCATTCTACCTGGCATATGGTAGGAACCAAATAAACTTTGGATAAACTGGTTTTTTCTTAACTTTTCAATTGAATTATTTCTTTCTCCTCTTGCAGAATGAAGATATTCAAATGTTGTTTTAAATATCCCCTGCAGCAGAAAGTTTTCATCCTGTTTTTAACCCTATGGCTATTCTCCTTGTTGAAGCTTCTAAACGTGAGAAGACTCCTCTTCCCTCCAAGAGACATTTACCTGGTTGAGTACTCCTTAAGTACCTCACCTTTTGTAAGAAACAGGTACACTCGTGTTAAGGATGAAGTCAGGTATGAAGTTAACTGTTCCGGTATCTATGAACAGGAGCCTTTGGAGATTGGCAAGAGTCTGGAAATAAGAAGAAGAGACATCATTGACTTGGAGGATGATGATGTTGTGGCAATGACCAGTGATTGTGAGATTTATCAGACTCTAAGAAGGTACACTCAAAAGCTTGTTTCAAGGGAGGAGAAAAGCTTCCCAATAGCCTATTCTTTGGTCGTCCACAAAGACGCAATTATGGTGGAAAGGCTGATCCATGCTATATACAACCAGCATAATATTTACTGCATCCATTATGACCGTAAGTCACCTGACCCCTTCAAAGTTGCCATGAACAATTTAGCTAAGTGCTTCTCCAATATTTTCATTGCTTCCAAATTAGAGGCTGTGGAATACGCCCACATTTCCAGACTCCAAGCTGATTTAAATTGTTTATCAGACCTTCTTAAGTCTTCAGTTCAGTGGAAATATGTTATCAATCTGTGTGGGCAAGATTTCCCCCTAAAGTCAAATTTTGAATTAGTGTCAGAGTTGAAGAAACTCAATGGAGCAAATATGTTAGAGACTGTGAAACCCCCTAACAGTAAAATGGAAAGATTCACTTATCACCACGAACTCCGACAGGTGCCTTATGAGTACGTGAAGCTCCCGATCAGGACCAACATCTCCAAGGAGGCGCCCCCTCATAACATCGAGATATTTGTTGGCAGTGCTTATTTTGTTTTAAGTCAAGCATTTGTCAAATATATTTTCAACAACTCGCTTATCAAAGACTTTTTTGCCTGGTCGGAGGATACATACTCTCCTGATGAGCACTTTTGGGCTACCTTAATTCGAGTCCCAGGAATACCTGGGGAGATCTCCAGATCAGCCGAGGATGTGTCAGATCTACAGAGTAAGACTCGCCTCGTCAAATGGAATTACTATGAAGGCTTTTTCTATCCCAGTTGTACGGGCTCTCACCTTCGAAGTGTGTGTATTTATGGAGCTGCAGAACTAAGGTGGCTTATTAGAGATGGACATTGGTTTGCTAATAAATTTGATTCTAAGGTGGACCCTGTCTTGATTAAATGCTTGGCAGAAAAGCTTGAAGAACAACAGAGAGAGTGGATTACCTTGTCTTCAGAAAAGTTATTTATGGACAGAAATCTCACAATCACGTCATTGTAGTAAAATTATAATGGAAATGAGAGGCCATCTGATAAATGGAGTCATATGGAATTGTATGCTATTCCATGCCTCATACCATTTGAATGTAATCCTCTCGTAGTTTAAAAGGTGTCTGAAATTCCTTGCACAAGGGAAAGTGATCTAGTCTTGATAATACTAGCTTTCAGTTGGTTGGTTTTTTTAATGTCTGTTTTTGCTTGTAATCTCAGAAAGATTGATTGAGTACCTAGCCGAATGACAGGCACTTTTTAAAAGATGGTGGCTGACCCTCATCACACATCACACGGCAACCTTAACACCTTTAAACTTAACACCTTTAAGTTTTCCTTGTAACAATCAGAATTTATTCTACTGCAGAAAGTTTTGGAGTATGTGGTAATCATATAATCATATAAACAACCCATTTCAGAGTAATGTGTAACTGACGTGACCAGCACTCCACTTGGCTCTTAATTCAGCTTCCTGGACATTTCCTAACCATTAGAATTTTAGGAGGAGAGACTCCACTACCTCAGTAAAGCTCAGAGAATTGTCCAGTTTCTTGTTTGCCAAAGCATAATTTGCCTTTTGGTGCATTATATGTTGACTTCAGGACTGTGGAAACTCTGTCAGTGGGGCATATATGGCATATGAAAGTTAGGGAAGTTGGTGGAGTTCATGGTTGGGGTGCACAGGTGAGAGAAACAAAGGGGTTTATTCAGCATTTCTATCATGTTACAAAATGGTGTCAAGAATGGACTTTTAAAAAAAATTCAATTGTTTCTTCAAAACACATTTACTCACCTGGTGCCCTGGCTCATGCTTGTAATCCTAGCACCATGGGAGGCTGAGCTGAGAGGACAGCTTGAAGCCAAGAGTTTGAGACCAGCCAAACAAGACCCCCAATCCCTACCAAAAAATAGTAAAATTAGCTGGGTCCCAGCTACTCAGGAGCCTGAGGCAGAGGATTGCTTGCGCCTAGGAGTTTAATGTTATAGTGAGCTGTGATAATGCCACTGCACTCCAGCCCCAAGTGACAGAGTGAGACCCTGTCTCAAAAATAAATAAATAAATAAATAAATAAACAGACTAGTTAAATTTAAAAGCTGATTAATAGTTCAGAGTGTTTCACCCCAGAACCTTAAATTCTCCTGGTTTATGCTTTATCATTATAAGTGAGTTCCTTAACGGTAGAATGCTTCCTATGGAGTTCGTAAAATGTATTTTATAAAACTATCAAGCTAAGAGTCACTAAATTCTCTTGAAAAGGTTTTCTAAATTAATTATTATGGTCATTTCAAAGATTTTCTTCTCCAGCAACTGTCCAAGTGGAATCCAAGTTTAAAATGATAAAAGCTCTAAGTTTATCACAGCCGTCTTCTCGGCTTAGTTCCAAAGAGAAAAAGCGAATTTTCCTAAGGACACAGTAAGAATAATCATGAATGATATTTTATAGAACCCACACCTGAGAAAATTTCCCAGTGAGTCAAATCTATACCCAGTATATTCTAATGTAAGGTTTGTGTTGGAAGGAAAGGGGGCAGGGGTAGGGCCCTGAGAACGGGATATAACATTTTTATCAGCCTCTTGGGAAACTGTAGAACTCATGTAAAACTCTATTAATGATCTTATATTTCAATGACAGCCTCAGTAACTACCTAAAGATGTATAATAGTAATCAAGACCAAAATGAAGCTATTTGGAAGACTGAAGTATTTAAATAACTTTTGTAAGAACATTTCTGTATTTTGCATGTGAAATGCACTTTGCTTGTTTTGAAGTTTGTGATACTGACTGCCAAGTGGCACCCCTTGTCTCTCTTTTCTTCTCTTGAGCTCATTTTGCTCTCTTTCTTTCACCCTATTCAAATTATTAGACTTTGTCTTTCAGAAAACAACTATTACCATGCTTCATTCTTATTAAAAAAAAAAAAAAAAAAAAGAGTAACCATGCATAGAGCTAAGTTCTGCAAAAGATCTGTAGATTCATTTAGGTTTGTGACCAAGGATAAGCTAAGTCATTCTGGTCTTTATAACCTTCCATTTTCCTGGTCTTTGAAATGAGCACTTAGATGCCTATCCTGGCTTCCTCACAAGCTTTTTTGTGAGAATCAGTTGAAATAGGATATGAAGTTGTTTGAAAATAGGGACATACTATTGAGACGGACCTGTCGTCGTGTATGTATAATGCAAAGGTCCAACCCCACTGAAAGACTTAAACATTTACCTTTTCTGAAAAAACTCTGAAGTATAAAAAGGGGCCGTAATCTCAGGAGCAAATTCTTTAACCAAATCCGGGTAGAAGGAAACTTCTGTCACCACATTTGGGATTTCTTTTTAAACCAAGAGGATTAGCAGGTTGTTTCAGTGACCTATATTGGGAATGGTGGCAGAAATACTACCATGCAGGATTAAATACACAAGGTCCTACTGAAATCTCAGTTTTTATGCCTTTGGTCATCAGAATAAATGTAAATGCTGAAAATTAATTATCAATGCCCTGGTCCAGTCTCCTGTCTGGGGAGAAATTATTCTATCCCCAGTTTATTGAGACATTTCTCAACTTTTTCATCACTTTAATGCCATATTCAAAGACGGCATGGAAGGATGAAAGGGGGTCAGTGCCTTCTTTCCCCCGTTGATAGCATTTCTCTGGACTCAGTTCCTAACACTTCAGGGAGCTTGTCACATCACACTCTTAGAAATTCCACACATTTCCCATATGCCTTCAAAGCCAAAAAACCTTTTGCTATGATTCCCTTCCTGGGGTGGAGAATGTTTTGTAGTCTGGCTTTTATAATTATTCTTGTATAGTATTTATTGAATCTAGACTCTAAGTTATTTAGACATGAGACCAGAACCTTGGAGTTTGGCAATTGTTATATGGATATTAGATAATATGAATTACTAAAGAGCTACCAAATATATCTACATTATGTGAACAACCTACTGTAACATTATACATATTTAAAAGACCAGTGTTGCTGCTATTTTTAATGTTTTGGTTATTTTAAATGAAATGTATATATTTAAATTTGAAGGTTTCTCTTGCCATCCACAATGTGAAGATATACGTACATATATAGACATATTTCATGGAAAACAAAAATGACAATCTACTTTGGAAAGGTAAAGTGAATGTCCCCTTACATATGTTGCCATTGTGTTTTTTTTTGTTGGTGAAGTAAAAGTTTTCATTTTTTTCATAATTTATATCAATTGGTCTCTAATTCCCCTACTTTGTTTTCTTACCATTTTTGAAATACACTTCCTATTATATGAGTTTTAAATAGATTGGTGTTTCATTTTATATTTTTGCTGCTACTAGATGTTAATTCTCTGGTATTGTAAAATAAAATGTGCTCAAAAAAACTGAACTGATGAGCTTTCCTTTCCCTGGTTGCTCTGGTGCCTCACAGAGATTCTTCCCATTTCTGGCACCATAATATTTGAAGAGCAGAGTTCATTTCACTGCAGTATAAAAGAAATTCAGCGTGTATATTACACATATACACACAACATAGGCGCACGCAAATTAAGTTGTTTAGTTTGACAAAGTCTCAAAGATTCTTCCAGGATTTCTCTGTCTTCAGCCTCCTTCAGGTTGGCTGCTACTCTAAGATTAAGTAAATATTCTTGTTTGCTTGATTACTTTATGGAAAGTCAGTTCTCAGGAGGGTAGGCTGAACTCTTTAACTCAGTTCTCTCAATCCCTGGAAAATCAAGACCCTTCTCTTTCTTTGAGGGGCTCCTGCTTTAGTTACAAGCCGTGGACAGATCAGGTCTGGATCCACCACCGTCCTCTGGCTGTGCTGGTGGATAATTCCTGTCAAGGATAACACCTTTTCAGCTCTACGCTCCCAGGCTGAGTATTTGGCATCACTGACTCCCTCTGAGAATCCCACAACCATGTTTTTTCACCCTTTCTCAATCCTTATCAATTGGCAGCCTACCGAGAATGCAGATACGCAAAGAGTCTGCACATTGGTCACACTACAAATCTCAGTCATCTCAAGGAGCAATGCCATTTGGGGAATCCTCAACATAATACAAATTAACATATACTTAACATATGGTTAATTCTAGTTCTTGCCAACCTGGATAACCATGCAAATCCACAGTAATTTCAGAAAAAGACATTTGTATTGGTGGCGGTGGCGGTGGCAGGCAGGCTCTACCTACCATCGTTATTAAAGACTGATGGGCTCAATTCCTACATAGCAAGTTCCATAATGTTTTGTTCTCTTTGGTGTCTACAAATCTACAGCCAACTGAGACAATGGCTTCTAGTTTCATGAAACTACTTATGAGGAAACTGTGGCAAGAAAGAATGAATAGCTGATTGTTAAGTTTGTTCCCAGTACTGGAAAAAATATCCCTATGATGATGGGTAGTGGCTTGGCTTTACTTCAGGGACAGATGATCAGTCAACTCATGTTGGCTTGTGAAAGCTGCAGGAAGACCATTCTCACCTTGAAGACGGGCTTCACACGCAGCAGCAATGTCCAGGAGCACCTTTGAATCATGTAGAAGACATGTAGCCAGAAAAGAATCTGGGGAAAAATTATGGTCAGTAACTTGGGTAAATTTATGGGGTTTTTTTTTTGTTGTTGTTGTTGTTTGTTTGTTTGTTTTTCTGTAAAGACAGAGTCTGACTTTATTGCCCTCAGTAGAGTGCCATGGTGTCTCAGCTCACAGCAACCTCCAGCTCTTAGGCTTAGGCGATTCTCTTGCCTCAGCCTCCTGAGTAGCTGGGACTACAAGGCGCCCGCCACAACACCCAGCTGGTTTTTGTTGCAGTTTGGCCGGGGCCAGGTTTGAACCTGCCACCCTCAGTATGTGAAGCTGGTGCCTTACTCACTGAGCTACAGGCACTGCCCCAATTTATGTATTTTTTTTTGTTCTTGTTATTATTTCCAATAGAACAATAAAGGAAATTAAACAGAAACCAGCTGGACACAGTGGCTCATGCCTGTAATCCTAGCGCTCTGGGAGGCCAAGATGGGAGGATCAGTTGAGCTCAGGAGATTGCGAGCAACCTGAGCCCAGAGCAAGACCTGGTCTCTACTAAAAATAGAAAAATTAGCCAGGTGTTGTGGTGAGTGCTTGTAGTTGGTACTCTGGAGGCCCTTGGGAGGCCGAGGCAAGAGGATCACTTATGCCTGGGGCGTTTAAGGTTGCTATGGGCTTGGCTGATGCCATGGTACTCCAACCCAGGGTAACAGAGTGAGACTCTGTCTAAAAAAAAAAAAAAAAAGAAAGAAGGAGGTTTTTGTTTCTTGTCCTTATCGTAAACATTGTTATTGTTATTAAATTTTAAGCCTCTTTAATTTTGTGAAGGCGAAAAGTGGAAACCAAATAAACACATGTACATGTATAGAGAAAATAATAATAAATAAATAAAAAGAAAGAAGGAGAAACTATTTACGTTTCTAATTCTAACATCTTGGCAAAACCATTACAATTTTCTGGATCCTCTTGTCCACATACACATATTTTGAAGTCTGTCCCCTCCCCCTACCGATATGTTTACAGTCACTTTGCCATGTTGCTACATGGTCTTTATGGCTGTGTAACATAGCATAACGTGCCATAATTCACTCAGCCCTTCCTTTATTGTAAGCCATTTGGATCATAAGTTAAAGTTGGTTTGGGGTTTTTTGCTGTCATAAATTACAGTGCTGTGAACAGGTTTGCACGTATAGTTTCACCTTTCCTTCAATCACTTCCTTGTGATGCATTTCCAAGGGAGGCATTACAGTCCTAGAGAGAATGGATTTTTTTATCTATTGCTTTTTATGTATATGTTTGTTACAGATCACTCTGCCCAGGAATTGTAAAGGACACGTTGTTGTTGTTTATCAACCATAGCCCCTACTTACGTGAAATAAATTGTATTTATTTATTTTAATAAATGACTATTCTGATTCTTAAGGTAAGCACAGAC